AAAAAAAAATAAAAAAATAAAAAAATAAATAATCATCTATTTTCAAGAGTTGAGTTTTCTTGGTGCAACAAGGCTGCCTGGTGCTCCCTCCATCGATCCAAACATCCATTCATCCATCCATCCATCCAACTATCCATCCATCCATCCATCCATCCATCCATCCATCCATCCATCCATCCACACATCCACCCAGTTATCTATTCATCCATCCATCCATCCATCTACACATCCATCCACTTATCCATCCATCCATTCACTTATCCATCCATCCATTCATCCATCCATCCATCCATCCATCCACCCATCCACCTACTCATCTATCTATCTATCTATCTATCTATCTATCTATCTATCTATCTATCTATCTATCTATCTATCCATTCTACCATCCATCCATCCATCCACCCATCTATCCACCCACATATCCACTGACACATCCATCTACCCATCTTTCCACCTACCATTCTACTGACTCAGGAGATTTCTCTTCAATATCTGTTCAATAGGCACCATGTATGATGGCCAGACACCTCTTAGCTGTTTTGACTGCCCATAAGGAACTCATAGCAGGTCTCTATTATAAACTGGACCTGACCTCTGGTAACAAAGACCAGAAAGAAAAATGGTTTAAATACGACTGAAGCAAATCTGACTTTTAGGAAAAAAAGAGAAGATAAAAATTTATCTCTCTCTCCCACAAACGATGTCAAGAGAGTCAGATTAGGGCTCGTATGGCCATTCTGCAGTGCCACCAACAACCACAGCTCTTTTTCTCACTATGTTCAGACATCCTTCAAGAGTAGTTCCCATCCTCTGGGTTACCTCCTTCTCCAGGCTGGCTGCTGGGGGTCCAGGCATCTCCTTGGTACTCCAGGCAAGCACAAGATGAAGCAAGGAGAGGGCCTAAAGGGCCCCTTGCCATCCATCCACCCATCTTTTAAGGAATGTTTCAGAAGTTTTCTCTGACAATTTCTGCTTATATTTATTTTATTGACCAGAGCTTACTTTTTGGTTATACCTAGCTGCAAGGGAGACTGAGGAAATGGTCTTTTAGCTGCCATATTGCCAGCATCCATAAAATCAAAGTCCCTTAGTATGGAAGAAGGTGGAAGGGATATGAGATGGATGTGTGGTCTTGCATGCACACAAGATGAGTGGATGAATGGATGGATGATGGAGATCTACATGTAAAGGTAAGTGTGGACATTTATATACATGCATACTCTGTGCGTGTCTCTCTGTGTGTGCGTGCCTGTGCCCTCATAGACCAAAGGTAATGATAAGAAAGCTTCATTATCTAAATACTCAGCTTTTCATGGCAAGCTCATTTTTGTTTTGCTTGCATTCAGTGGAGTAATTAAGCATCTGAAAGGAGATCTCTCTGTGTTGGGCTCTCAGCCAGGTGCTGAGATAGAATAAAAAGTGAGACTGCTCAAAGACTTTGGGGAGACTCAGATAAACACAAATAAATACATGTAAATCAAGGGCTATTAAAAGTAAACACTGCTCTCTGAGGCAGGGCTATGACTGCTTGATTTCACTGCCATATTCCATAGAGTGGGCCCTCGGGTAGTTGATGAGTGGCTGAGTGTGCTAAGGAATTACTGAGAAGAGGGACCCCAAGGAACTTGGGGAAGGCAAGCCTGAGGAGAGGGAGTAGGAGCTGGGTAGGTGGGACTCAGAGGAGGGAAGTTCTGGGGGGCTTTGCCGTGGTGAAAGCATCCTGGCCAAAATGTCTAGTGCTGCCCAGGCTTGAAGATCAAAACCTGAACTTTGAAAGAGCAGCAGAGTTGATCTGATTCAGGGTAAGGCGCTGGTTATATATGCACCAGATTGGAAATGTGTCAGTTTTCACTGACTATCCAAGAATAATTCAGATACCAGGAGAAAGTCTGGCAGACAAGATTTGGTGTGACTAGGAGCTAAGAACATTGATCGAGCCATCGAGCCATCGATCCATCATCCATCCATCCATCATCCATCCATCCTTCTACCCTTCCATCCATCATCCATTCATCCATCCATCCATCCATCCACTAACCATCCATCCATCCATCCATCCACTAACCATCCATCCATCCACTAACCATGCATCCATCATTCATCCATTCTTCTATCCTTCTACACATCCATCCACCTACTAACCATATATCCATCATTCATCCATCCATCCATCCATCCATCCACCCATCCATCCATCCATCTAGTAACCATCCATCTACTAACCATCCATCCTTCTACTAACCATCCATCCATCTACTAACCATCCATGGATACTAACCATCCATGGATACTAACCATCATCCATCCATTCTTCTATCCTTCCATCCATCCGTCCACCTACTTACCATACATCCATCATCCATCCATCCATCCATCCATCCACTAACCATCCATACATCTACTAACCATCCATCCATCTACTAACCATCCATGGCTACTAACCATCCACAGATAATAACCATCCATCCATCCATCCATCCATCCATCCATCCATCTCCCCATTTACCTGTTCAGAGGTGACCCGGGAGGGAAATCAGGCTCCATCTCTTCAAATGGCCATCATCATATTCCAGGAGCTAGCTCCTTCCTGAAGTTAGGGCCACACTCTGGGGGCTTTCCCCCACATTTTCACTCTTACAATTTTAAAATATATTCACCTCCAAGTTCGAAAGTAATGTAGATGCAGTGCGGAGAGTTTACCAAGTACAGATAACAAAGACATCCCTCGTGTTACAAGAAATAATCAGGGCTATAGGTTCGGCGTGTATCCAGCGACATTCTCTTACACCCTAGAGAGTGTTCTGATGCAATGTGGATGGGTTTGGGCTGTGCTTTTTTCATTGACGAGGACTTGCAAATCCTTTAATGTACCTCAGTGCTTTCAAAAGGCTGCCATTTCCCTGCGTACATGGATTGCCTATCGCTTCTGTTGCTTGATGTGTGGGTTGTGGGACGTTTGTGCGTTTCTGCTCTTCTGTTGTTGTAAATAATACTCTTATAAGTGAAGGTTGATAGGGACTGAGTGGTTGCATCCCTCCAGAAATTCACGTGCAGAAGCGCTGAGCCCAGTGGGTGGGTATCAGCAGGTGGGGAACAGTGACAGGTAACAGGACAGATATGTGCGGTACTTTGGAATAACGGTAGCCCACGCCAGCCCGACAGTGCCCCTTCCCAGAACCAGAACGGAGTGTTGTTCTCCCCTCTGTCCAGCTGGGTAAATGGAGTCTGGGGTTGTGGGGTTCATGCTGAAGACCTGGACCAGCCCGGGCAGGGCTCTGCTTCCAACTCCAAACGCCTGGTCTCGTGCTGGGCTCCCTGCTGCCTCCCTGACCCCTTCCTTGGCATCCAGTAGGAACGCCACCCTGATCCCCTCCCTGGAGCCGACCAGTACTTTGGGACCCCTTGTTCGGACAGAAAACCAATGGCAACACCAACCAAACAAAAGAGAGGCACACACCTGGAGCATCCAGTGCTGCTGATGAGAGCAGGACCTCGCCCACTGCACCCCAAACCGTGCATCCCGGGTGATAGAGGAACAGAGAGACGTGCACCAAAGTGACAGCAGGCTGTTCTCCCTGGAAACCGATTTCCCCAAAATCGTATCTGTCGGCAGATACGGTGAGGGGTCCCCAGGGAAAGGAAGACCAGGCACAGTTTTCTTAACAGAAGACATGACATAGGGTGCCCAGGGGGCTCAGTCGGTTAAGCGTCTGCCCTCGGCTCAGGTCACGATCTCGGGGTCCCAGGATCAAGTCCCACATCGGGCTCCCTGCTCAGTGGGGAGTCTGCTTCTCCCTCTGCTTCTGCCCCTTGTTGTGCTCTCTCTCTCTCTCTGTCAGATAAATAAATAAAATCTTAAAAAAAAAACAAACCAGAAGACACATCATTTTAGGTCCCTCCCAACCATTTTGTGATCTATTGCCAATCGGCTCGACCCACCCCTGCACACTTCTTGCAGAACTTCCTAGGACGTCAGCATGACAAAAATATACACAAGGCTCAGTAGTTAATGATTTTTTTTTTTTTTTTTAGGGGAACGAAAAAATGGAAAAACAGTCTCTACCCAGCCCGATGGAATCGGAGACAGGAAACCAGGCGTACAACTCCCCTCGCTGTGTGAAGAGTCAAGATTGACCTGGTGCACATTCCTGAGTCCCTTTGGCAGGATTTTAAACCCCTGTGAGCTCCCCAAACAGCAGACTGGCCAGAGCCAGAGTATTGATAATACTGAGCCTCGCTGACCCTCATGTAGGACCTGGACTCTGACACCTTAAGATGACTTCTGCCCTGGGTCCCCCACCTCGCAAGCCCTGTCGTGATTATGCAAGCACCCGAGCTTCAGACTCTCCCCGTTTTCTGGTTCGGAGAAGACACTGCTTTGGGAAATTGCAAGTAAAACCCTTCTTTTTGCTGTTCTTTGGTTTGGTTGTGTCTTTTGACTCCAGGGCCACAAAGAGGAGACGTCAGTGTTGGGTTGCAGTGGGGACAGAGTTTTCCCAAGGAGATGGAGACAGGTCCCCAGTTTCCTGCAACCCGGAAAGGCCTCTTGGAATTTCCCCCCCAGACAGGTTTTCCTTTCTGCAAACTTCCCTTCTGACAGCCGAGGTCGTCTGCCACCCTCACGCCCTCCGTGTATACGGTCTTTTCTGTTCTGCTCTGTAAGTTTACTTTTTTCTGTCCATTGGGTTCTTGGGGTCCCCGTTGAGACCCATTTTCCAGGTCAATAGACAAAGCCCAGTGGTCCACAAAGGATGCTCTGTAAAAGGTGGGAGAAGGGCCAGTCTGTAGGTGTGTGTGTGTGTGCGTGTGTGTGTGTTACAGGGACTGTCAAAACCGCCCAGACCTCCTCCTGTCCTGAGTTTGAACCAGCATAACGCATGCATAGCAAGAAGGCTGTTCCAAAAGGAGCTTCCTCCCTCCTCCCTCTCTAGGTCTTGAGGTATGCCCTTCAAATATCTCTTCTATGGAGCTTGGATACAACTCAGGAGGTTTCTTCAATTAATTTAATTTTTATTCTGGAGCTTAGAGCTTCTTGATGCTCTCAGAGCATCTGCAAAAGATGATGGAAATTTTCATTTTGAGCCAAGGAAGGTGGCCCTTAAAAAAAAAAAAA